GTAAATACCCTACAATAATACAGTGTTATGGTTGCATAATGACAATAAGAAGTCTTGAATCTTAAATCCTGTTTGGTGTCCGACCAAAGTGCTACATTTCTGTTTGGTTTGTTGGTTGTACAGTGGGTGGCCAATGACACAGGACACATCAGGGGATATGTCCATTTATCTATATTAGGACTTGTGTCTGGTTTGTTTGAACTTAGGTACTCTAATATCTGCTCTCCTTTTAGTGTTTTGATTCAAGGATTTAAGGGGCTTTATTGTTAGAGCAGGGCGATATGACCAAAAATATTTATCACGATATACATTTGAAAATTTGCAATAACGATATAACTGACGATATAATTGACACTAGACAAAATACTTTACAACTCCACAACTTTATTAGTGCAAAAAACCCCATCAATGTATTTTCACTTAAACAAGCAGCTGTTTTTCATGTGCATTAAAGTTCTATAAAAATGTAACAGTGCAAATTCCTTGCTGACAGTTTAACCAAAAGGTATTTCCAGCGGAAATTGGGCGACATATCCTCAGCATAACCATGTATAATATCCACAAAACTTAAAAAGAGGTTATACACACACAGTACGGTAATATTATGTTGAAGCACAGTACGTATCACTCCGCGAGGCTCCTGCCTGCGATGCCGTAATGCTCCGACAATCCATCAAGCGGTGCGGCTTCGTAGCTTAGCAAAGTCGCACTAAAACATTTGACAGATTGCTGAGCGCCGTGTACCACATAAAATCGTTTCGAGGTCAGTAAACACAACCAGAGTTCATACATAAGGCACACGGGATTATAAGGGGCGCTGTCGATTTTCAGAAAATCAAAGGATTGATTTTAAGTGCGCCGTATTTTCCAAAAAACACGGTAATAACGACGGCCCGCTAGCATGCTCTACCAAAAATAGTGCTTTGTTGTGCATCTGACGGACAAAAGCTAAACCAGTCCCACACCACTGAAGTTGCAGCATTTTTACAAACCAATTCTGGTTCATCTGTTTCATTTAACGATCCACTTTCGCTCTTCTCATTCTGCGTCGCCGCCATGTGCGTATGCAAACAAAGGCACTGCGCATGCGCGTTTTACCCATATTCTATCGCGATATTTCATTTTCCTATCGTTGCCCAAAATTACACCGGTATTATCGTGAATGGTATGATATAGCCCAGCCCTATTTATTGTCATTTGCATCACGTTTACATGAAGTGGAACGAAATGACAATAAAGCTCCTTGAATCCTCACCATCAGCAGCAAAATATCTGCCTCTAAATGCTTCCCTTTGTCAGTGTTGGGTAGATTTTGGCATTCGCATACATCTTTATGCTGTTTCAGCTGGGTGTTGAATGTGGACACAAGGTTAGCGAGAATGCAGAGAAGTGTAAAAATATGAGCCCCCCAAAAAAATACAATCATGAGGAATATAAAATTCTGCAGAATCGAGAAATTAAGTAACCTTAGGTGATAATTTTCTGTGGCTTCCTTATTATAGGCAATACCTCTCAGTATAGCTATGTGAGCCATTATTATTATAAAAATAATGATTAGTGGAGCGTTAAAGCTTTATTTAGCCAACATGAAAGATTAGCAGGGCTAATACCCCGTGGCTAAATCTCTAAAGTGGACACAGCTGTGGATCTCGCTGTAAGTGGCTTTGATGAACAGCAGCACTGATCTATTTTGTCATCTTACCACACTGTGTCAGTGACAACACAGCAAACACTTCCCCATCTGATTTATTCCTAACAGGCCTCTCGCTGAACACAATGGGCCCTGTTTGCGTTCGCTGCTGTGGGATCACAATGTTCACTCCCTCACTGTGACACAAATACGCTCACTCTCACTCAGGAGAATCCACATGTGTTGCTCTCAAGCAATAAACCAGATGCACAAATGCTGTTGCAAGCATGTCACAAGAATGTAACGCAGGGGCAGAACAATGTGAGGTATTTGGAGGGGAGGAAGCCATGGCAGCGGTCCAGCAAACAAACAAGGACTTCCTGCTGCATGCATCCTCAATGGGAGGAAGGAACCACAACCCTTACCCTATGGGAACTCAGTGTGTGTGTGTATGTGTGCGGGTGTGTTTCGGAAAGATTGATTACGATTTACACAAAGTGCTGTATACATCCTTGACAGAACACTTGAACTTGCCAAAATCAGAAGGAGGAGCTGATGAATTCAGATATCAGACTTCAGACAGCTTTATAACCCACACAGACCGCACACAAGAAGAAAACATTCTCACTTACTAAAGAGAAAATGAGGATCTCAGCATGTTTATGAAACGTGTGCAGTGAGTGAAAAATGAGAGCTCATTTTGTCCCCGGGGAATTGCTGTTTGTTGAGGAGGCCGTGAACGTCATGTTTTGCTCGAGTAGAAACAAAAACCCACTAAATCGTGGCAACAAGTATGTTTTTGCTGGATTTGTGAAGCTCATCATCACAGGCCCAGGTAGAAGGTACTTAAGGTTGATGTACTGTAAGGGACCAAAACATAAACTTGCATGTTTTACTGAAATTATCTAAGCATGAGAAAATTCCAGCATAACACTTCCCAGAGTCATTTCTTTTCCTATCATGAGCCAATCCACCAGGACATTTAATAAACTTTAGTAGAAAGTCTACTTTACCTAGCTGTAGACTGTAGCTAGGTTTACTTTCAAATGCAGCACACATTTTAACTTCTTCCTGTTTTTATCCACTTGTGTTGTTTAAAAATCAATAAATGGTCTAACATGGTTATATAACTAACAGTATACCTGCCAAACCTCAAATGTTGAGATGAAAGTAAAAAACATGGATTGATCAAAGTATCATTGGGCACAAGTTGGTCTCCAACCTTTTCATGAGAGTGTGAATCTCAGATCGAAAGCACTTAGGTACAGATGTTGTACAGCACTTTTCAAGTCTTACCTAATGAAGATGGCATGTGTAGCCTGTCTAAGCTGTGATTTTGAAAGTGACTAGATACAGACACAATGCAACAAAGGTAGACAACTGAATGTCAGGAGGCTGAGACTTGTCAAAGCTCATGAATCCAAAAGCCTCTGCATGGTATTGCTACATGTTAGGGACACAAATGAAGCGAGAATTTAAAGGAAACAAAGCAGCAGCCCAGGCTTAGCAAATGCAGCTCGCAGGTGTTTTGATGTGTTTCAGTTTGTAACCATCCTGCCCACATTAGCTGAAGCATGTGCACAAAGCAACTTAAAGATACGGTTTAGTCAATAAGGTGGGAAGAAGAAGACTGACGCAGGAGAACAGTAAACAGCTGTACTTCATCACAGAGGTGCTGCAAGTCTACGCAGCCTTTCACCATGTGCAAGAGATGTTTCTGATTCGAGTTAAACACAGACAGGAAACCATATGTCTGAGCTCTACAGTGCGGCTGGCCTACACGACAATGCGCGCGCGCACACACACACACTGAGAAAGACCCACTTTTTCCTCTCAGCACTGTGAGAGGCACACAGAACCCAGCTGTGTTTCTATGACCACACTGAGGATTCCCCAAACATCATTACGTGTGAGTACTGCGTTTCCACTTCCTGTTTGCGGTGACGGTGGATTCTCAAATCATTCCACAAGACAGTAGCAACCGTAATGAGACCCTAAAAAAAGTAGGCCCACAACATTTTGAACTTCGCAAGCAGCTTTACTGTGCATGCCAAGGTACGCACAGCAGTTTCCTTGTCAGTGGTTGGAAACAAGCTTAGCGTAGGAGGAGAAGAAGGTGGGGGTGATAAGATGACAGAATGAACGGGTATCAATAAATGAAAGTACCAGGGATGGGCGAATGACTGAACAAATAATGTGGAGAATCAAAGAGCTACTGACACACTTGACAAAGGAATACAGATGTGCTGTTCTAACAGCGGTCTATTTTAGAACTGGCCAAGCATGTCAGCAGGAAGGGCTGTGCAGCCACTATAAAATAATCTATCTGCTAAATGCGTCTTTTTCTCTTAACTGTGTCACACTTAACTGCATTTGGTTAGTTGAAAGCTGGTGTTTGTTCCTGTGTAGTCAAATACTGAGACCAGAATATAAAACACCGCATTTTTCAAAGAATGTACTTTTGTACTTTGTACTTTTTTGCTGTCCAAAAAAAGAAGTCCAAGAGAAGGAACCAAACTTTTTTGTGACAGCACTACACAACAGTTTCCAACAAGTTACGAATTGACGGATGATGATGTTATCGAAGGAAACGGAATAAATGAATGAATGAATGAATTGGCAGTGAACAAGACATTGCCATAAGCCAATGAGTGATGAAAACAGGACCAGAGGAGACGGTCAGCAGAAAATACCTGAGCCCTACTTATCCTCTCCATTCTCAATGATCCTATCACCTGTTGAGCAACCAGGTAAATAAGGTGAAACCACACCCATTGTAGCAACTACTAGAAACTGATATCACCATCGTGACAAATGTGAGTCAGAACAATAATGAAAAAATACATTTTGGTCCCTACAGCTGCTGAGCCTGCATGTCTGTAAACAGTTTTTGGTGATCTTTTTGCAGGTATAACTGCGCACGGGGATAAGTGTCACAGACCAGGTAAGGAAGGCATTGCAGGGTTGGATCATTAAGAAGTAGTATCAGACTTGAAAGCAGCAGTAATTAGGTTTTGGGCCTCAGGAAAGAGCTGAGGTAGCTGTAAACACTGTCACACACAGAGTTCAGTCCCAATTCTCAACAACAACTGTCTCAAGGCACATGTTGTGAAATTAATGGTGTTAGCAAACAGTTACCGGAAGCTACAGTCCTTTGGAATTTTCTGATAAATGGAAGTGCAAACCACTACTTTTAACAGTTACTGGCTAGCATTGTGCAAGAAGTAGATGTGAGCACTGAAGCTGGAGTTTGTGAAACCAAAGCAAAGAGCTGAAACATTCTAAACTGTGGAACTCCAGGAATTATTCTCCTTGGCTTCAGGAAAATCTAATTACTGCTTTAAGCTTCTTCAAAATTTTAGGTACTCACTTTGGGAGAATATTAGCTCTTCGTTGCACTCTGCTCCTTTACAGGAGCAGAAATGAGCCAACCCCGTTGTTGTGTTCTTTTCCTTCATCACACAGGTGGTGCTGTTGTAGTCATCCAGGGTAATGCCGTACAATGGCTCTGCTGGGTTGTGGCAGAGAGTTTCGATGGACAAGTTTGTCTCGTTCCTTCTCCTTAAACACACATTGAGGTATAATGTTTAACAGTGTATACGTTAAGAACTATCAGGATACCATCCACTTAGTTAATCACATGTAAGAGATGAAGATTGCTTACTTCTCTTGGATACCTACCAGATAGAAACACAGACCTCAGTTGGTTTTTCACATATGGATGAGATGCTGCAGTTGGTCTTGCAGATACCTGTGCCATTGCAGGAGGTAAGCTCCACATCACAGAACTTACAAAGTTCATGTAGTTGAAAAACAAGACCTGCAAATAACACACACAACAACACGCATTAGTTTCATGTTTCATCAAGTGCTGCTGTCACATACAGCGAGTCACAATTTTTTTTGCCTGTACAGGAAACACAAGCACTATCACAAATTTGATATATTGTTTTATATATATTAGAACAAAATCACATTGTGGGCTTTATGTTCAGAGCATTGACATTGTTATGACTGCTGGCGCAAATTCCTGGAATTGTACTCTCCAAACATGACCAAAGTTCTGCCTAAAAACCTAAAGTTTCAGCCAAACTCTTTTGAAAAATCGATTCACAGAAAAAATGTTTGATGTGCTGTAAGCACAGTGTAAAGACAATAATGATATACTGAAACAAAATGCACCACATAACCAAGCTACACGTGAACCAAAACTAAACAAGAGCTCATGATTAACAAATGAGAAAAGTAGGTATAGAATAAGACTGCAGTTTAAAAAGTCAAGACAAAACAAATTAATATATTAGTAACAAGAAGCACTGAGAGAGTGCAAACCTCTGCCAAGGCAGCTCATTGTCTGAGCAGTACTGAAAAGTACTTTAAGGAGTTTGTAGTTCAGTAAAAACAATCGCAGAGTGCAGGTTTTTGTTATTTGACCTGTTGAAACCAATTTTGATAAAACTAATATGTATATATTGTACATGTGCAGTTTATCCTGTCTTCCATAAAATTAATACTCATTTATTAACATTGTACACGTATTCTAATTAGAGTAACAGGTTATAACCTGTTACTCTAATTTACACAGCAAGGTCTTAAAATAAGGTGGTATTGAGAATTCCCCATATCATTCCCCTTATATGCCTGTATGTTGTAATTACAAACAATGGTAGTAAGACACATTGTTTTAAATAGCTCTTTCTAGGATTATTATCACTTTGACCAGATATATCTATTGACATTGAAGTAGAGGTCACAGGTCAAACGTGACACGATTTTAAATCTTTATACAGTACTTTCTATACGTTCGCAATACACATGACACACAAGTCTTTTTGTCAGTTTTTGACCAATAATTCATTAAGTCAACCTTGAAGACCTTGGTAGCAAAGTTTACTGTGTTGTTAACAAAGTTTTATGAGAATTCATTCAAAACTTTTTAAGCTATCGTGTTTTTACTAACACCTACGCATACATGAAAGCAAATGCTACGACAAAAATGGAGGTAATTAGAGTATATTCACTCTCTATCATGGTTGAAATAAGGTAGTTTTGAAGGCAAAGGGGGACCAGTGTGTTCTTAGTAAAGTTGAGTGCATTTCCTAGGTTAGCAGGTCTGAGTATAAAGGAAAAACAATATACATAAATGGCACACAGAAGATGTGCTCAGAATCTTTGATACAATCTAAATCAGGGGTAGGGGAACTCCAGGCCTCAAGGCTGATGTCCTGCAGGTTTTAGATATCACCCTGGGTCAACACGCCTGAGTGATTAGTTCATTACCAGGCCTCTGGAGAACTTCAACACATGTTGAGGATGTAATTTAGCCATTTAAATCAGCTGTATTGGATCAAGGACACATCGAAAGCCTGTAGGACACCGGCCCTTGAGGCCTGGGGTTCCCCCACCCCTGATCTAAATGAATAACTACAGCTGAAAATTAAAAATTTTCAGCTGTAGTTAGTAGTCAGTACACACTTCATGAGTACTGAAACATAATTCGGTAATATTGTTCTTTAGTAGTATTTGACTGGTAATTTTTCGTCTCAGGCATAAAAAAAGAATAGTTCACATTAGGGAAATGTTAGCAAGCTATTTCATATTATTATTTTTCCTGCTACTTAAACTATTCACTCCTCTTTCATGTTTGTAATGGTCTCTGCACTGCTAATATTGTGGGTTCCTCAATGGAGCTTTTCACATATCAGAGGCTGGTGAAAAAAACACCTTTACACACTGAATGTTTGTGAAAAAACAACACGCATTTCCAAATTTTTTGAGCATGAACTTGGCATGTAATATATTTACACACTGGTGACTGACCCGGAGCAGCGACTAGTAGTAGTATAGTTTGACAACTTCAGTAGTGGTGGACGTTTTTATTTACATTTGTCCTGTGAAACTAGTACTACATTAAGAATAGGTGAGTCTGAAAAACATTTGTAACGCATAAAATAATTGCACAGATTTTATGCATCTGGTATGTAAGGTCTTTTTTCTTTTTTTTTCTTTTTTTAAAGTTTAGTTACACAAACAGTAGGGCGGAGCAACATGAAAGCATCATCTGCCTGACCTAAATGAGGTTTGAACCATGAAGTGTCAACATAGACAGCCACTAGCAGGGAAACATCTCCGTCTCACAGCCACACTCTGTACCTGGATCAGCCACCACAAATGAGCTAAATGAGTCCTACAGAAACCAGGAAGCTATACAGAAACAGGTCAAAACCACACTTAAGCACCAATACAGACAACCACAACTAAATCAAAAGTCAGCCTTTATCAAGCGACAGCATTTTCTTTCCTCTTCAGATACATAACCATAAACTAGCATGTGAGCATTTTTGTTGCCAGGTACATGTGACACTGTACACTAAAAGAAAGGCACTCCAAAGTGATAAATCAAAGTCTTTTTAAAATTATAATCCATGAATGAAAAACAGTTTGTACTTTTATGTTGTAAACGGTTAAGTTTTATAGGAAGTTAGAGATAAAAGAATCAATTTGTGACTAAAAACTGTGCAAGTGACTCACAAGGTTTTCAAAGAATCTGACGCATGATGTAGCGACATTAGAAACAGGGCCACAGACTTAGAAGTGGTAATGACGTCACGTGATGTCGTTTGTCATTTAATAGATGTGTTTTTCATGTTTACAAAGTTTGAGCTGAGATCGGTTTTCATGTTCCGTCTTGACAAACGTCCACAGCAGCCTCTTCTGTCTTCATTTCTTCTTCACAAAAAAAACAATCAGCTTTCAGATATTGTTTGATCTAATCTCTGGATGATTGTTATCTGAGAAGTATTGCATGCGGTACGGTGGCTCGTGTAATCAGCACAGTCTGCCGTTCTCCTTTGCGTGGCTCGACCCGCCTACGCCTCTCTGATCTTTCCCTGCTTCGTGACATGAACAGACCTGTCTGCTCCAAGCTGCCAAACTGCTGGCCTAGGAGAAAATGTAAAAAACAAAGCTAAGCCACGATGTCATATGACAGTTCCTGAGACGACATAGGGCTTTTTAGGCTTTATGGCTGTATTTTGAAATCTGGGAAGGGCAGGAAGAGTTCTCTGTGTGGCTTCGTGTTCAAATAATCTTTAGATTCTGGGTGGGACAGAAGCTCTGTGTATAGTGTGCAGGTGTTGTGGTACACATGGATGGTTTTAGTGTTGTTGAAAGCCTTCCTCTGCTGGGAGGTCTGCTCCTAAGGCTGTCATGGTTCAGCTTCACTGAGCAGAACTTTGAACTTTTAATCTTTTCCTACACCTCAGGTTAAAACCAAGATTTGGGGCTGAAAAATGAACTCATGAGCAGAAGTACCAAAAACTGCAGTGGAGCCGCTTGAATCTGACTTGTAATAAAATACCCAATACCCATTATTTATTTTCTAAAATTCAAAAAAACCCAAGTTACTGCAGCCTGGACCCTTTCTGATGTTTCTAATTTGAATATGTTTTCTTTATCACTAAAAACTTTGTGGGCAATGTAGCTAGTATTGATCATAGTGAAACTAGACTTCAAACTACAGTCACGTCAAAGGCATTTTGCCTTTGGCAAAAGTCTTATGGATTCTCAAAAAAGCTTTACCATGGTAAACAAACAGTGTGCAGAAAATCCAGATCATGCCTCAGCATGGGTGGGGGAACGTAGCAATCGTCAAAAACTGATAATATTTCAAACCTCAGAGGGTTCAGCACAAGATACTTGGTATGCTCCTTGGTAAGCTTTGTCCTTATTTTGCCATTTAAACTTATAATGAATCCAACTAATCGGCTTTGAACAAAGGTGCCCTTCTTTTGAATTATCAGTCAATTTTCAATTCAATTCAGTTTTATTTGGGGTTTTTTTTATTGGGGGGGGGGTTTCTTCCCTCTCTTTTCTACCTCTTTTGCTTTATACTCTAACCTCCTAAGACCCGAACTCTTCCACGGCATGCATTTTTAATTTCTCTTTGATATTTGGGCTGATTGGGGCCTGATGAATGTAAAAACAAAGAATTACCAGATTTTTTTTTTACCTAATTTTTGTTTCTAAGAAAAATGAGAGCCACATATGAGGATATTCGTTTAAAATTTCGAGAGAACAGTAGCAGTATAATGTCCTCGTAAGTGGATATCGGGGCGCTTGTAGAGTAAAATTGAGTATTTTGGTCTAAATAACCCAAAATGTGATGTCCACATATGTGGACGCCAGGTCCTAGGAGGCTAAGGTAAAGACCCTATAATAATGCAAAGAAAACAGAGAAAGCCCCAACAATCATATGACCTCCAATGAGCAAGTGCTTTGGTAACAGTGAGAAAGAAAAACTCTTATGGGAGTGATGCTGAAAAACTAGTTCATGCATTCATTACTTCTAGGCTGGACTAATTCATTAATATCAGGATCAAGCCTGCAGTTGACCCAAATGCTGCTCTCTCTTTCTAGTCCCTGACAGGGACTAGAAAGAGAGAGCATATTTCTCCTGTTTTGGCTTCCCTTCACTGGGTCCCTGTTAAATCCAGAATTGAATTCAAAATCCTGCTCCTCACATACAAGGTCTTAAATAATCAGGCCCCATCTTATCTTGTTGACCTTATAGTACCATATAACCCCATTAGAGCACTTCACTCTTAGACTTGCGGGCTTACTTGTTGAGTATTTGATTAGACATAAATTATCTGAATTTCAGGAGTGGGACCACACCTCCAAACATTCCCCTTCTGGTTCTTGTCTATATATGACACCTGTTCTCGTTTTCGTGCCGCGCCGTCCTGAGGTTGTGAGCCCAGCTAGTGAAAAGGGTGGCTGTGGCTCATGTGGTAGAGCAGATCAGCTACTGACTGGAAG